GTGATTGGCTCATCAAACTAATGATATCCTTTGCTCCTCACTTCCAATCTACGGGCTTGCCCTTTTTTCTTGAGATCGTTGAATCCGTCTGTATAACAAGCTTTTAGTTCTGCAGATTTGGTAGGTAGCTTTTCCAAATAACAGTCACTAATAAAATCGCTAAAATGTGTTTCAAAATCTGTTGTTTTGTTTGCTACCGAGAAACGAAACGTTATAAACATGAAACTCTCCATATTTTGGTAAGTCAATTATCTTTTGTATATAATAAACACTTACAGTTATTTATCTCCACTGCGGGAAACGGCGCAAGGTTTTGCCGTTTTCTGAAAAAAAAAACAACAACAACAACAAATCAAAAGGTGACGCTTTTACCCAAAAAACTGCTGGTTTTTCCGTATGAAACAAACACAATAATTAGTGATAAAAGTTTCAAATGTAACGGATTGAAAAGGCAGTTTTAACATAGCTATAGCTAAGCGGGTGATATTTTGAGAATTGAGAGATATTGGCTTCTTTTTACTTTTAGGATCATGTCCGAGAAAAATGTAAATGTAGGTGCGGCGCTTTACTGAGAGACAAGGTGAGTTGACGAATCTGTGTGTTCTTCTAAATTTCATGACTATTTGCAACAGATAGCATAATTAGTCACTAACACCACCCTCCTCCTACTCATTATCATCTTCTCAATCATCATCAGCAGCAGCAGAAGCGTCAACAACATTAAAACCATTCAAGTTTGCTTTAATGGCAACGTTTTCACGGAAATTCACGAGCCTTACGGTGTTTCGTTTTGATTGCAGGATCTGCCGGATCATCGTGAAACATGTGAACGCTTCCCAGTGAGGTGTCCAAAGAAATGGAAAGCAGTAATTTCTCGAGAAATGGTGAGTCACATCAGTACTCCTCGTCTCGTCTTGTCCTTGATAATTATTATAATTTTGGTTTTCTCCTTTTCTTCTTTCTTTTCACACTAATTAATTTTTACAACCTATCTGGTAGCAAACCCTGAAAACAGAAAAATGGCGTCTGTCAATTTTTTTTTCCTGTAAGCCCCCTTGTTTGCAGAAAAATTTTCACGGACGAGTGCTATCCATCCGAATATTTTCCGCGGACGGGCACTATGGTTGGATAATGTATCTCCACCGATGAACATCAATGAATAGTCTGAGAAAATTTAGAGGTGACCTGTGACTATAACTGTGATAATTTTTCTGTAAACATATGTTACATGAATAAATATTTAATTAATCTGCATTTTGTGGGTTTTTAATTAATTTATACACTTGGCATTCAAGCCTTTCATCTAGAAAAGTCGAAAATAGTTCAATATGATTTTTGAGCTGGCGCGTGGAACAAAATGTAGTGGTCTCGGAACTATTAGTCCGATAGTTGCCCCTAGGAAACTGGATGTTCATAAAGTAAAACTAGCTTATTTGCCCTCGAAACGTTCTCTCTCAGGCAAATATTTGTTTAAGAATATCAGATTTCCGTGGGGAAACTATCAACCGATAGTCCCTCGACAGCAACAGTCTATTGTTTTAATAGAACTCTTGAGCTCATATAATCTAATTGTTAATTAGTATTGTGCATGTTGTGAAAAAGATGCCAAAAAGTTGCCAAAAACTGGCAGCAGTGCCGTAATCTTGATTGTAAACAGCGTCAGCCAAATGTACTCATGTCATCGTTGTCTTGCAGGTTTCAAATCACATTGAAAGCGATTGTCCCTTGACCAAAATTCCGTGTCGATATGCGTGGATAGGCTGCCGCACAAAGGTAAAATGTTTTGGTCATGTTAAATACAGCCACGTTATGACTAAGCTATCCCTGATTTATACATTTCCCACTCGCCAAGGCAGCGTCTTAAAAGGATTGTTATTGTTGTTGTTTTTGGAACACTGATTAGGAAACCAGTTCAGGTGATGACAAGTGAACGTTTTCCACTCTGGTCATTCAAAGTAGTGCAACCGGACATTCAAAGTGCAAACTCTTTCAACTAAAGCATTTATGTCGTCACGTGACCAACGTCTCTTTGTTTTGGACCTCCAAGTTCCATATTTAAATTCTTATTATTTTTATTTTGTTTCTTTGGACTTGTTTTTCAATCCGACCGATCGACCGATCTAAAATCAGAAAACCTATTCGACGCTAAAAGAAAAAAAAAAACGAGGATGGCTTCAAAGGGAGGAAAACGTTGCAAGTATAATAGGTATCGAGTAGTAGCTTTGTCCTTGTGGAAGAAAGAGTTTAAATTATAGCATTTTATTTTCAGGTGCAGAGAAATGAACTCGAATCACATCTTGAATGTGCAACTAAAAGTCACCTCGATTTAGCGTGCGGTGAGTTAAGGGACACGCAGAAAAAAGTAGATGATATTCAGCACCAGCTTCGAAACACTGTAGATTTCTTACAACAGCAACACGAACAGCGAGTTGGTATCCTTCAAGAGCAGCTTGAACAAAAAGTAAAAACGTGCCAAACAAAACTAGAGCAGAAAATTAGTATGGAGCGCACGATATTTTTGGTTTGTTTGGTGTTGGGAGTTGTGTTTTTAACGTTTTACCTGACAAAACTTGAAGATAGATTCCACAAGAAACTAGAAGAAAAAGTAAGTGTTATTCAGAGCCTGCGTGAAGAGAATGTGAGCATGGTAAAGAAGGAACTTGGGGATACATTCCAGAAGAAACTGGAAGAAAAAGTAAGTGTTATTCAGGGCCTGCAAGAAAAGAATGTGGGCACGGTAAAGAAGGAATTTGAAGATAGATTCCAGAAGAAACTGGAAGAAAAAGTAAGTGTTATTCTGAACCTCCAAGAAAATAATATGGGCATGGTAAAGAAGGAATTTGAAGATAGATTCCAGAAGAAACTGGAAGAAAAAGTAAGTGTTATTCAGAGCCTGCAAGAAAAGAATGTGGGCATGGTAAAGAAGGAATTTGAAGATAGATTCAAAAAGAAACTGGAAGAAAAAGTAAGTGTTATTCAGAGCCTGCATGAAAAGAATGTGGGCATTGTAAAGAAGGAACTTGAAGATAGATTCCAGAAGAAACTGGAAGAAAAAGTAAGTGCTATTCAGAGCCTGCATGAAGAGAACGTGGGCATGGTAAAGAAGGAACTTAATGACAAATTTTATTCGTTAAACGCTGACCTTAGCAATAAACTATTGATATTAGAGTTGGATCCAGAGGTATCCCGCATTTTTATATGGAAGATAACAAGCTTTGAAGACAAATTGAGGCAAGGAAAAAACAATGAATTGAAGTACATTAATAGTTTTCCGTTTTACGCGTATGGCTACAAACTGATGCTAAGATTGTATCCAAATGGTGCTGACTTCGGAGAGACCACTCATCTCTCCATAAATATTGTTGTAATGAAAGGTGAATATGACGCCGTATTACCTTGGGGGTTCTCAAAGACGGTAACATTTACGTTAATAGATCAACAAGATGATCCAAATCAACGACAAAACGTTGTTAAGGGATTTACTTCCGACCCAAACAGTAAAGCCTTTGTAAAGCCTGTAGAAGAGAAGGCCCGTAAAGGACATGGATTCCCAAAATTTGTTTCTCATAACGACCTCAGGAGAAGACGCTTTATTGTTAACGACACCTTATTCATTAAAGTTCAAATAGATTCACCAAAAGCTAAGACGTCATGGTTTTAACCTTAACCGTTTATATCTTAAAGACTACCAGTGATGTGGCATGTCAATGTTCTTGGAAAAGGATGTTTTCGTGGTGACTGTATTTTGACAGGCATGCTTTTTAAAGTGCCACTATGATCAAATTCGAGATGCCCATTAGCTTTTTACATTTTCATACACAATAGATCTTTCCTAGATGTCTTGGCAAATTTCAATCTATTACGAACATTAGAACTCACGTTTTTTTGGACCTTTAGTTCCGAGAATTTACGGTCGCCATTAATTTTCTTTGTCTCAAGTCTTAGCTGAGAATTGGAGAAATGGACGTCATTTTCTCAAAAATACCAAACGGGTTGAAATTATAATAACAATTACTACAGCAATCCGCATAAAAAAATAACAAAAACTTTGGCTCATATATTTGTGCAATTTGCCACATTAATTGTTGTTTTAATTTCAATCCGTGCGATATTTATGAGAATATGGCATCATTTTCTTCAATTATCAGCCAAGACTTGGGACAAGGAAAATTAATGGCGGCCGTAAATTCTCAGAAATAAAGGTCTAAAAACCGCGAGTTCTAATGTTCGTAACAGATTGAAATTTTCCAAGATATCTGGGAAAGACCTATTGTGTACGAAAATGTAAAAAAAATGAATATCGGGAATTTCATCATAGTGGCACTTTAAATTTTGGAATTTTCTTGGTCTCATTTATGAAATTTAACTTCAAGTAGTTCCCTCTATTTCTGTTTTAGCACTCCTTTAGAGGCAGTTTGCTTTGTTTCCGCTTGATTCGATAGGAACTCGTCGTAGTTCTTTAAAATTATTAAACTGAATGCATGCTTCTCGAGCCCGGGAGGGGGGTACTTTGGGAATTTCTGGGTGGGGATGTGCCGCTGTGACCCTGGAACCCTTAGCTTATACCAGAGCTAATTCAGCTGAGTTTTACTAACGTATACTAGAGTAAACTCCCCAAATCCCCCATCTATTGACACTGTTGAGGCTGATTTGCGTAAATCTAAACTTTCCGATTTGATTTTTTTTTTATATTTTTGAGTGGCAATTTCTGGTTTCCTTACTCTAGGTAAAATCTTCAACCAACCAGTCAGTTTTGTGAAAAATGATACGCTCTGATTTATACACCCTATCCTACAGTGAACTGCTTGAAAACCATACCTTTCACAGCGGCACATACCTATATAGCCCATATATGGCAGTGCCCCCCCCCCCCCCCCGGGG